GTTCATTGTCCTGTACAATATGGGGATTCCCTTTCTCTTCAAACACTGTGAATTAAATCTTATTTAAAACAAAAATAGAAACAAGGATGGTGGATTTGGTATTATAGATGTAGATTCGGAAAATACGTTGTCCTGCCTAACTGATCTAACCTACATTAATAGTGATTAGTGTAATAGAGTGATTAGTGTAATTGATTATAAAAAGAAGAGAGTGGGTGTTGGGGACTGTTCATTCCAAGTTGATGTTTTTTGTATTTGGATTGATTGCTTTTGGGAGCATTTTGGCACATCACCCATAAATTAGCGTGTATGTTCATCTTACACGTAATCAATTGACACGTATCATTTCACTTAATCTTAATTAATTTTTTTCAAAATTGAAAAACTAACATTTAATGTGAAACTTAATTAGAATTAAGTGAAATGACACGTGTTAATTTATTAGGTGTATGATAAGCATACATTATAGTTTATGATGGTGAGCAAAAATGATTCCATTGCTTTTACTTTGGTTCTTGTCTTGGATGGATCATGATGCCTACTTTTTCCCCCATCACCCAAGTTTAGGTTTTTTCTTTTTCTTTTGAATGAAATAGTGTGGGGAAAGGAGAAAATTCAAAGAAATGAAAGGGATCGGGTCAAAGAAATGTAAAGAAGTGGACCAACATGTCGTATTTGTGACGGTTGACCAAAGGCAACTTGTGGGGTTGGCAGTTGGCTGGTTGGGAACGGCTAATTGGGTATTTTGATTTTCCAGCGAGGCTAATTGGGTATTGGTAGAGGTGGGATTATTTAGAGAGAGTGTGTTTTCCATTTGGTTCCTGAGAAAATGGTTGGATGAATTTGAAGGGAATTGAGGAGAAAATTCTTGGTCTACAAAAGGGGTTGCAAAGTCTTTCAAAGACAAAGATGGTGTTTTTATTTTTATTTTTTGAACAAACGATATAATTTATATGAAAGAGAAGGGGGACGAAATTAGTCTTACAACGGGATAATATAATACAAATTCGTCTTTAGTGAGAATTGAACTTAAAATCTTTCACTTACAAGTAAAGAAGACTACTATTAGACAGTGGTATTAAGTGACAAAGATGGTGATAGAGTTGAAGCTTTTGATGTGGGTCGGAAAATTAGAATCAAGATCCTCCAAATCCTTTTTATGAGAATTGCAGAGATTCGTGAATCATATTCGTTAATCGTACATCGTGCGGTTAGAAATTATTTTAAATATTTTTATTTAAAATTAAATACAAATAATACCTAATAAAAATTAATCATACGATGTACAATAAACGAACATAATTTACATAATTTACAGAATTCGAGATTCTTACCAAAAGATCCGGAGAGGATCAGTTGGGGAAAATTAAAGCTCAAGTCAAAGTTTGTGGGTGGGCAATTATTGTTATTTATTAATATATTTTTTGCAATGCCTTTGCCTCAAAGGTGGAGGTAGAAGGAGTAGGAAAAGTAATGTTCAAGTCAACATTTGTGGGTGGGCAATTCATCATTTTGACCACGTATGGGCCCCAATTGGTGTGGGTTTGCACTAGTTTGTTCTTTGTTTGCATTTGGGATTGCCTAAAAAATAAAACCTCTAAGTATCTATGGTCCCCAAGGTGCTCCATCGTTGCCAATTCCTCATCATTTACATGTGGCTAGCTCAAATACACAAGCTCAATCCCATAAATTTCAAGCACAAATCAGTCGACGTTATGACAAAATTCTTGAATGTGATTGTAATATTGTCACATGATTGTAATGGTTTTTTTTTTTTTTAAATTGCTCTGAAAAAAAAATATACTACACTAGTAGTTAATAATTAAATTACAGAATCTTGATTCATTTGAATGATCTTGTACAGGACGAGAGTAAAACTATAATAATAGTTAGATGGCCTAGTCTTCTAAGTAGTTTAGCTCGCCTAAACCTTCTACACTAGTTCATTTCTTCAATATCAAATATCGATTTTCTTACAAATAAAATAAAATAAAACATGTTATATATACAGAAATGAATTATAAATGTAGCGTAATTTTCCTAATAAGATAATTTTTAGAGAAAGACAATGACTTTTTGTTCCATTTATAAATAAGGTCTTGCACTCATAAATGGTCGCTTTGATGGATAGATTTCTTCTTTAACACATTGCTTTTCAAGTATAAACCTTTCTTATTTGTAGTGTAGCTTAAAATCGCTTGAAATGAAAAACAACAAAAAAGTCTTGCACCCGACAAGGGGCATTTATCCTCTTGAAGAATCAAAGGTTACACTTTGACTCGTTTATATGACCACCCATCTTATAAAAAGGATTAAAAAGAATATTCTTAATTGCGGGAAAACTACGACACCTTCAAATTTAGGAGTGCGTTCTGCTTATTTTAGTTTGGTTATGTAGTAGCAAAAATGCATCATCTTTAGTCCTGACGAATTTATCTTTGATCAAAGATCAAAGTCTTATCATGCCCCTATGAGGTTGAGAAGTGGTTTGGCCAATGGATCTCCGATGCCTAAGTTAGTTTATCTAAAAAGAGTAAGAACTTGTTTGGATTTGCTTTTAAAATGATTGAAAGCGTTTCTAGTAAAACTGTTTTTAGAACAAATCCTTAGTAAAAATGCAAGTAAATCATGGAAAAGCACTTTAAGTGCTTTCTGAAAGAATCACATAATTGGCGTTTCTTGCAGAAAGCACTTTAAGTGCTTTTGGAACCCAAAAACATTTTCTCTAAAAGTGCTTTCAATCATTTTAGAAGTACATCCAAACAAACCCTAAGTGTTTAGAGCTTGTATGCATAGTAAAAAGCTACCAAAATTTGGAGGAGATGGATGTATTTATAGGAGCAAGTGGCTAACCATGGTATTATTGTTTTGCCCTACACATGGCAGCATCCTATTGGTTAAGGTATGTCATCTATAGGATGCGCGAGGAAATAATATTCCCAAGATATTAATTAGGAGATAATATCTTGGGATAATGGTGAAAGTATCTTTGATTGATTGAGGATTCCTTACTTGATGAAGTTGATTTTCAATTGAGATTGTATTAAAGATATGATTTAGTATTTAATCCTATCTTTAATACCTTTGACTTTTCCATGCCACGAGCAGAGGAGTTTCGAGCAGTCGTATTCCTCTGCTTGAACTTCCGAGGCTGCTGAGCTGCGTGTGGGAATATTTGTGTGATATGTCCATTTAATGAAGGCAATCTTGTCTTACTTGAGAAAAAAGTTCACGTGTCGCCTTCTGGATTTTTGGGACTATTTTTGGCACCACAAAAGGCCCAACACCTGCTGGGCTACATGTAGAAAAGGTCAGTAAGTGTAGAAATCCCAAGGTACTTGGGTAAACAGAGAGTTATTTCCCAATTTGATGTAGTTCTTCCACTTAAAGGAAACCAATTGCCACCAAAACCTATTTAAGCTTGCCTTAAGCAGAGGGTTAACTAAATTTAGAGACCAATTTTTCACAACAAGAAAGAGAGAAAACCAAAGGAAATTTATTCCCACTCCCCTAACCTTCTTCTTTGCTTGCCTTTGCAAAGAGTTGTTCGTCTTTTTTTCTACTTAATTTTTTCTGGAGCTTTGGGGCTTGAAATATTGGCTTGGCGTGAGTCGAGGATAGGCATTGTTATGTGGTGTTTCGTCGGTGGTCTTCGTGCGCTACTTCCTTCTGGATCTTCCTTTGTTGGGAAGCCTTTGATTGCCCCTAGCGATGACCTGTGGATCTGTGCTGCCCTTCTTGTGTCATGCTCATTCGTATCACGACTGCGGTACACGTCGTTTGTTATTGGCTGACGAGTTGGCTATTTGTGGTTAAATTGGCGTAGATTGCCAATTGATATTGAGTTTGAGCGTTTCTACTTCCTTTTAGATCTGATTTTGTTGGGCGATGGCACCTTGGTTGTCTTTAGTGGTAGTTTGCAGGTTTGTGCTGCTTTTTCGGCTAGCTACGTTACACGTTGTTCGTCTCTGGCTAATGAGCAGGTTTGTCACACCCCAAAATTTGAGGTGTGAGACTAGGAGAAATAAATAGAACAAAGTGGTTGTTTAAGGGTGTAAAACAAATATTAGCTTAAGATTTAGTCAATGAAGATTTAAACTCAACAATTACATTACACCAAACTACAAAGGTAACTGTTTTCCCAAAAAAAAAAAAAACGTACAAGGGTAACTTTAATAAATAAAGTTAAAAGACTTACACTATGTTTGGATGAGGGAAATAAATTTGAAATTTGAATTAAAGACCGAATTTATAATTTGACATGCACCAATTCCCTTGTTTTGGTTCATAAACATAGAAATTTAGAATTTCCGCATGGAAAAATACTTGGAATTTGGGACTTCCAATTCCCAAGTTTAAATTTCATGTAAATAGGTGTCATTTTCCAATTTCTATGATTGAGAGTTTAAAAACAACAAATTCCGTATTCAATTCCATTGTTTTTTTAAGTTACCCAAACAAGAAAATTCACAAATTCTATAGAATAAAATTCCATCATTTAAATTTCCGTCATTTTAAAATTTCTTAGTAATTTTAAATTTCTTTATCCAAACATAGTGTTATTGTGGTAATACAAACTGCAGAAACGACTTGTACTGTAAAATTCACAGAAAATCATTCGTTTAACCAAAAAGTACGAAAATTTCCAAATTCAAAGTAGACACCTAAAACGAAGTTGTGTTAAAATTTCAAGGATTTTCGAGTTCAAGAAGTATAGGAAAATTTAAATCTAAAACAGACATGCTGTTGTTTTGCTTAAAAAAACAATTTCAGCAGCACCAAGTCACTTTGGAAATAAAACTGATTATGTTCCAAAGGGTAAAAATCTGAAATTTTGCAAAATGAAACCTAGGTAGTAGATAACCACCCACAATTTTAAACATAGTCAAGTTCATAGTGGTTCTCCAAAGGCAATTCATTAAGCCTTACAAATTATAATGAGTTCACAAAAAAACTTCAAGGTTTCTTGCATACAAAAAAAAAAAAAAAAAAAAAAACACATGCTCAGGTCATTTGGTAAAAGTGTACTTGAGCATAATTTATACAAGTCAAAAGGCAAGTGGTTATATATACATGGTTTTCATTTCTCAGGTAAGTAGAGACACTAACCCATTGTGGCCTACGCCTTCTTAGTCTACAACGCAACAAAAAGATCATTTACAAACTAAGACTAACTATACAAATACTTTGGCAGCTCACCCAAAAGATATACGTCTGGACTCCCTTCTACTAGTCCACACTAGAGCTACAACTCGAAATTCAGCTAGTCAACCCTCCCCCACCTGAAAACACATTTTTAGAAAAACGGGTGAGCATAAAATGCCTAGTAGGGTTTTTTTGTTTCCAGTAAGTTTGTAGTCATTTAAAATTTCTGGTGCATGCCGAAAAATGATAAGAGTGATTCGAAACAATTTTTATCCACTACTACGTAATCCAACAACGGATTATGCTCTAAAAATGCTTGGAAGTAACATATGGTAGGAAAACAAAGTTTCAGAGCATTAACATATTTGATAACAACACGATACAACACACAGTTCAAAAACACTTCTTTTGTCACAAGGACAATAAAGCCATTATCATTTAAAGAAACAATATCACAACTAATCACAAAGATTTTCTTGTATCCCAAACAAGTGACTAGCAGATTGGAAAGAACCGTAATATACTTGGCCAATATATATATGACACGTATTTATCAATTTGATAACTCATTCTCGTAGCCCACACATGGAGCTTTCCTCGGGGAACATTGGGTCATTGTGCCCATAATCAACCAACTTAACGGGTCATTGTGCCCATTCATACAGTCCTCAACATTCTTAACTGCACATGTATTATACTACTTTCCATCTACTTTCAAAATCAAACATTCATCTCAACATACTTCAAAATCTCATAATGAGTAACATAAAAGGCATGCACGTTAAGAACGAAATCTTGACAGCCCTTCAAAATTATTTTAAACTCCCCCAAAGTTGTAGGAAGAAAATTTAAAATCATTAGACATCAAACCATAGAGAAACATTTGCTTCACTTCTTTCACATAATCGAAAACGGAAAACATTTAAAGTAAGGTTGAAATAGTGCTCAAATGCCAACAATTATTTATCAAGTAAGAATGGAAAATCTAAATATTTTTATGGTTGAAAATTCCCCTACCTCAACAAAATTTGTTGATGTTCAACTCCCACGGTGTTCGTCGACTTGTTCCATTGTCACCTTGTCCTTCTCTTTCTTATCTATGAGGAAGAAAAATCATCACACACTGCTTGTACAAAATACCAGACAACATACCCTAATTCAAGGTTAATTGGGGACTTTAATCAAGCACTTGGTGCTCATCTCTAAAACTATAACATGAAATATGATACTTTCCTGTTTCCTACTCCCACCCAAACTAATTCATGGGTTATCAAACCAAATATCAAATAGATTTCCAAGGTAAGAAGTAGATACCTCTAATGGAGACAAAGGAAGGATCCTCACTTGTCCTAATAGAGGAAAAGAAAAATAAATTCCTCTTCCTTAAATTTTCTTCTTGGCAAATTAAAGCTGAAGGAGATGAACATCTTCATCTCCTTCGGCTGGAGAAGAGAGTAGGAAGAAGAGAGTTTTCTAGAAACCCCATTCCCTTTTATCCTAACTTACCAACGCAAGCATTCCTCTTTTTTTTATTTTTTTTTTATTTATTTTTTATTTTTAAGGGATACACCACTAAATTCTCAGGATACCAAATCATTTACCTAATCCGACAAACATTGGCACAATCCTTTATAAAATAATTTTATTACTTGGGAAACTAGATGAAATGGAAGTTCTGTTATATATATATATATATAAAATTTTATTTTATCCAAATGTTGGTCTCAAAGTAAAAGATCATTTAATGGACCAAAGGCCAATTGATACAAACCTCAAATAAGGCAAATTTATTTTGCTAACAATAGCCATAAGTAATCCACTCTTAATCACCATCTAAAATTTTCGGGATATTATAGGGTTGCTCGTGGTTGTGACAGGCGTTGACTGCCAATTGAACTTGAGCTCGAGAATTCTTGAGTTTCTTTATGTTTATATGTTGCCTGCTCCGGTATAAGGTGGAAGGAACTCCATGCAAGCCAAGTCGAGAGTGAACACTGCGTTGGATTCGGGCCTCGAGTGTTCATCAAAGTGTGGACCCCACCATGGACGTGCACTCACCTGTTAGCCTTTCGGGAATGGATGGTTTTCCAGTGCTCTAAGGCGGGGAGAAAATGTTTTCGTGAGGGCTTATAAGGAGTGCGCTGCCATAACGCCTGGTTTATAGCTAGTTAAGCGATTTTTCGTCGAAAAATATATTCTCATCAGTTATGTCCTACTTCAGGACACCTCGTCAAGAGTGCGTTGCTTATTGATGTGCACGAGGAGTTGACTCATTAAGGTAAACTGTTGAACGAAGGTGCTAATCAAGTTTGTAATTTTTCGGGATATTTATGGATCGCCACTAAAAGTTGAGCAGCTCGTCTGAAGTGCATCTCTGTGAGTGGTGGAAGTGTAGTGGACATCAGGCACGAAATTTGAGCCTAAAGAAGTCAAGTTTGCATAAAAACATGTCAAAAACATTGAAAATTGGTGTAGAACACCAAAAAGGGGCTAGAAATGGTTGCCGATATTTTTTTTGGTTGGCCAGTGGTTCAGCTGAACTGATCTGGAGTTGGTCTGGATCGCCTTAGGTCCAAGGAGGTGTGGATTTGGGTCACAGGGGTGGGCCTAACTCGCCTTGCTGCAAGCTGGAGCACCTGGCTTTCTAAGCTTGCATATGGGGAGCAGTGCTCTAAAAATCAGTCTGGAGCTAAGGGATCGCCTAGGAGGTCCTTGGCAATTTGGTTTATTTTTTTATTTTTTTAATATTAATTGTGTGTGTGCGCGCTTTTTTTTTATTTTTATTTTTAAGTTTTATGGTGGTATACTTATGGAAATGGTGTACCTAATTTGCAAATGATTGATTTATTACAAATTCATCTGATTGTGAAATGAATTGGAGCACTTTTGAGGGGATACATACAAATAAAAGAAATATACTAAATACAACAAGGTTAAATAATTTAGTTTATGTCCATCATTCTTGCTCTGCGATCTGTCGTGTGGGAGAAAACCTCGGTAAATAAGGAGCGCCGTTTGTCGTTGTTTTAGAATTTTCGGTCATCATTTTTCTTCCCTAGGACTATTCATAGGACATGTAAAAGATTCTAAGAATAGAAACATGTTGGAATATTTACGTATTTAACGGAAGAATTCGAAACATGAATGTGAGAGCATTCTTCGAGCGTTTGAATTAAGTTCTTGATAAAAGCACCAATTAGTGATAGCAAAAATCTGCCATCTTCAGTCTTGATGAATTTGTACCTACAAAACAATCAACACCTTTGATCAAAGTCCAAAGTCTCCTGCGCCTACAAGGTTTGGGGGGGAAAGGGGATGGGGGGGGGAAAGGGGATGGGGGGGGGGAGGGGGATTCACCACTGGATCTCCAATGCCTAAGTTAGTTTCTCTAAAAAAAGTGAGTGTTTGGGGCTTGTATGCGTAGCAAAAAGCTTACCGAAGTTTTGAGGAAATGGAGGTATTTATAGAAGGAGATGGCCGGCCATGGTATTAGAGTTTTGCCCTACACATGATAGCATCCTATTGGTCAAGGTATGTCATCCATACGATGCCCGAGAAAATAATATTCCCAAGATATTATTTAGGAGATAATATATTGGGATAATGGTGGGAGTATCCCTAATTGATTGTGAAGAGGATTCCTTATTTGATGGATTTGATCTTCAATTGAGATTGTATTAAATATAGGATTTAGTAATTAATCTTAACTTTAATACTTTTAACATTTCCATGCCACGAGCAGGGAGCTTTGAGCAATTGTGTCTATTGCCTGAACTTCCAAGGTTGTTGAGTTGCGCGTGGGAAAATTTGTGTATCCTATCTATTTAATAAGGGCAATCTTGTTTTTCTAAAGAAAAAGTCCACGTCTTGTAGGCTCCACATGTTTGTTTTTTCAATTTATAAAGGAGAAACACAATTATTTTGACTTGATTTTTTCAGTTTAGTTTGGTTTGGTTTCGATTTTTTTTTTCAAAGTTCTTTTTATAATAGCCGAAAAATTGGAGAGAAAATGAAGAAAAAAAATTTTAGGTAATAAGACTCTCAATATATTTGTGTCTGAAGTTGGGTTATCTAGTCTTATATTGACTTTAGGCTAATAATTGATTTAGAATTCCATTAGAAAATGAATTCCAAACATAAAAAATCAAAATAAAATTATATTTCACTCATTTCGGTTATTTAACCACCAAAATTGAAACCAAACCAATAATTTCAGTTCGATTTTTTATCAGTGTTTTTTTTTTTCTTTTGATTTTTAGTTATTCGAGCCACTCTTACGGGTTTAGGTTTTCAGAAAGTAATTTAGATAGAGTGAAATTGGAAAAATCCGTTTCCGTCATCTCATGAGAAAAGTTGAGGATTTTACCTCTCGAGCCAACGCGTGAATGATATGCATAATCTGACAACCACTACGTGAGGTTGGTGAAGCCTTGTATGACAGGCCAACACAGAAAGCCGCTTCAGTTGAACTCGTGCATCAGACATGCCAACCATGGAAATAAGAGCTCTTAACCTCATGCCAAGCAGTCCATTAGTGTGTACTAATGGAGCATGCACTCTATAAAATCGCTTAGCCACAAGCCTAACCCATGACACCATTAGCGATCTAGAGGACTCTTAGGGCTGGTTTGGTATTGCTGTGCTTTGAAAAAAAACTACTGTGAGAATAAGCGGCTGTGCTGTGAGACTAAGCGACTGTGAAATAAATCAGCAGAGTGTTTGATAAATTTTTTTTGTAAAAGTGCTTTTGGAAAAAAAAAAGCAGTCTGATAGTGGGTCTTTTCATTAAAGGAGTATTGTAGCTCCGTGTGTTTTGAAAAAAAAACTAGTTTTCCAAAGTTGCAAATAACAGTTTCAGCTCTTTCTTTTGATTTCAGCTTATTCTCACAACAGCTTCCAAAATAAGTCTTTTTTTTTTCAATTTACCAAATACCTAAAACCCTCACAGTTTTTTTTCATGGATGTTTTTTTTTAAGCACCTCATTCCCAAATCATCCCTTAATTGCGTCATTCATCACTGCTTCTATTCAAACAATTAATTGACTTGATGAATGAGATAACAATTCATACCATAATAGATGACCTACGAGCTAAACTCATGCTCCGCTTCACCACTATAAGGGGGACTTCACCTTCAAACATAACCATGGGAGGTAATTGTTCTTTTACTTAGCGAAGAAACTTTAGCACTTAAATTCTCATTGATCTCCTATGTCTACCTACGCACATTTTATCTTTGGACTCACAACCTACACACCTTTTATCTTTGGGCTCACAATATACTTACGTAACAAGAACTTTACGTATCTTTTTATTTATTGGTTTAACTGGCACAATTGAAATTTTACAATGTGTTGAATTTCTTCCCACATACTCTAAATAACGTGACAATGTTCGATCATTTTATATTTGAGTCTACTTTTAACCTTATTTATTACTACCAAGCAAGGTAATAACACGTTTGGTGAATAAATTGATGACTTTAACACTATTCTTTTAAAAAGGGATATTCTTGTCAATAAAAAATCCTTTCATTTTAGTGAGTCCATAGATGGATACACACCTACTAATAAATGTTATAGCTATTAGCACTACAGTCTACTCCAGCTGTCAATGAAATGTCTTAAATTCTTACCATGTGACTTACTACAAACAAACCATGAACCACTCCATTATCTTTGTATTAAAAAAATAATAAAAAAGCACCCCGAATGTATATTGTTGAGCAAAAAAACTTTTAATTCAAAGAAAATAAATAAATAAAAAACAAGTGACTTATAGGTTAGTTGGTTAAGAACATTTGCATAAGCACTCAAGAACCGGGATTCGAATATCTCCTCCTTAGTTTAGATGAATTTTTAGTGTAGATTTGTTAAAAAAAAAAAAATACAAAAAACTTTTGAAGGCCCAATTTAGTCACTTCCATGGGCTATTATGGGTTTAACTCGCTAGAACGCCATGTCGTAAAACCCTAGCTTTAGACCTTAACGCGAAGCCGTTCGCAACTTCTCGCGTCCACTGAGTAAGCAACCAACCGTCCCACAACCTCCCATCCAAAAGGCGGCGATGGGTTGCTTCTCCGTCTCCATTCCCGTAGTCCGCCTATGAGATTCAAAATCCCCAATCTACCCCTTCTCCCTCCCAAAACCCTATATCCCCTAACCCCTAAATCTCACATGGCCTCTCTTCTCACCGCCGCAGAATCCCAAATCCGAACCCGAACTCTCCATTCGGCCCCACTGCAAGACCTCGACGACTCCCTCTGCTCCGACCACCACCAACAACAAGAAGAGCAACAACAGCAGACCTTCGCCGTTACAACGCCGTTGCGCTGCTTGACTGGCGAGTCGCGCATCGAGCGGGCATGGGCTCACTGGTCGAAACT